GTGGGTCAAAGCTCCCCTTAGACAAGTCGTAATTTCGTATGCTCTTGTACTGCCCCACTAGAACACCATGTTTTATCTGTTATTTGTATATCAGCGACTTACAGCCTCTTCCTCGACTGGTTGCATCGAAGATTGATGGAATGAATTCCTTGCTCAGGGTACTTACCTAGGTGGCAAGCAAACTGATCCACTATCCCCTGTTTGCTGAGTATTTGCGTGGATTTCTACCGTTCCATACCGCTCTCCAGTTAGTGCCATAAGGGAATGGTTTTCAGATGAATTACATTTACCTTTCAGACTTTTGTGTTAGACAAATCATCAGTCTGATGCAGTCAGTAAAGTTTACTCTTTAAATTGAGTTCATTCAAAATCTGTCCTGCCCCAAAAAAGTCCTCACATGGTTGTGTTCAGATTCCATTAATCCTTGCATACTTGCCCTTATAATTACTTTCATTGGGTTACATTAGTAGCATATATCAGCAGTTATTAAAATTTAGTTACCTTATTTATATACTGTCATATGAAGAGCACAAAAATAATAATTACTAGTGTATACATATACCATATATGCAGGATTGCATTAAGAAATAAAGTGGCAGGGATTTCAGCAGAGATCTAGTTTTCATTAAAATGATATTTTAGATGGTTTCTATCGAAACTGTCTAGGACTGCATTCCTGGTTTAGACTGGTAATAAGTAAGACCACTCTTCAGCATAGCCATGTTTTTAATTGAAACTTTTCTGAATGAATTCCTTTGAAAGATATACATGTACTAAAGTTTTGCCTCATTTCCTGCTTATATGTACGTCTATTCCAGCCCTGTATGTTATCGAAGCGCATTTGCGTGTCGAAGGTGATATTTTTACAGTTTTTTGTATATACCTTTACTGCAACTCTGTGCGATCACGGGAAAAATCGTAATTTTGAATCATGATTCGGATCAGCGATTCTTTAATCTCCCGTATCTTTGAACAAAATTATTTCTAACTGTCATGTTTTGTTGAAAAGCAACACCTATGAAGATCTTGTGAACTTTCTGATACCTTAATTCTTGTATAATAGTGCTAATTAGACAACCCCCTTGTGTTAATGAATTAATGAATCTGCATACGAATTATGCTAGTGCCTTCCATATATCTCTGTTTATTTGCCCAGCGTATCGCGTAATCGATGAGTGTATTGAAAGCGTAATTTTTTACTTGCTTGTATTCTTAATGGACTATTATGTATATGTTTGCAGTATGCAAAAGTGTAAATTGTGGTAATGATAGATGTCATAGATCTTTATTTCACTGCCATTTAATAGGAGAACAATAATGCGTTGAGTGTTAGCTTTTTTTCCTGCTGGTAATATGAATATATTCATAGAATTATATTAGTAGTGTGTATCTGTATGAACTATTATAATTATGGACATCCTGAGCGCATTTAAATTTCGGTTATTTTTTTGAGAATGTTCCTTCCCTAATTAATGGGGATGAAATCATTAGAAGGACTGTATTATTCCTTAATCATTTGTATTGCATTACAGATGGAACCCAACGCTTATGTTAAGTTTCTTGCACTGTAAATATGTATGAATTACGGTGGTAATAGCTATCTTCATCGTATGTTTATTTCAGTGGTTATTTTACTTCGCTTAGAATGTCACAGATGCGCTGAGAGCTTATCGTTTTTCTTACTTCCCCGTGTTGCAGATTTAATTCTATGCTTATGTTATTAGTACACATAAATATGAATTAAGTTAATGCTAAATATCTTAATCATATCTGTATTTAAGCAGAATTGGTTTAGAATATGTTGAAGGAACAATCATATTCTTCAGTTGATGTTCTACTAATAGAAGCATATACATATATTGGTGGTACAGATTAGTGCAAATTATAATGTTGATTCCTTCGGCGCATCAGCGTCTTTCAGCAGAATTTTTTGCGTATATCGTTTAACCGAATTAGATAAATGTTTTGAAAGCCTCGGCTTAATTCTTATTAATAGGCGTAATTTATTCACATGCAGTAATAAATATGAGCAGGAGTTTCAGTAACAAAACTTTTAGTACGACTGTATCAAACAGTTTACTCAGAACGTGTTATTTTGTTGCACGTCATGGTTGTATCATAACACGTGTTGTATTTTTACCTATTTTAAAGTTGCAACGAACAGTTATTTTGGCATAATCTTTTCTGCCTCATTGGAATACCATTTACTGAAAAAAAGTCACGCACGTATTTTTGCCTTCGTTAGCATTTACATTGTCTGTTGACAAGGGGAGTACCCTGTTCTGCGTATGTTCTTGCTCTGTACATCATTGTACTCTTACGTCTACCATGAGTTGTGATATTCGCTTGTTTGAAATCACTAGTTGTGATTTCGATTATTAAAGTATGGTTAATAAAAAGTAAATGTCGAGATATTTCATGGCTTTGAAAGTGTGCTGCAAAAAGGTTAAAGCTTTTGTTTTAAATGTCTTTCAAATTTCCAGGTTCTTCCAGGAGGTGAAGTCCATGAACCATCCGCCACTGAGTAAGTGGTGAAACTTTTCTTGAACCTTGAACCGTGCTTAGGTTTAAGCACGTTTTAGGCAGACTTTGAAGTTACAAATAGAGCAGAACGTTGATGTGAAGACAATCAAAGAAAGAGAGCAAGTCATTAGGCAGTTAGAGGTACATTATTTTTATTTTTGTTTCAATAACGAAACGTATGTTCTTTTAGTCAGACATTATGGATGTTAACCAAATCTTCAAAGACCTGGCACTGATGGTACATGAGCAAGGAGAGATCGTTGGTACTTGATTTTATAAAGCTTGTTTTTTACATTTGATTTTGGCTAAAGTACGTTTTTATTTAAGACAGCATCGAAGCGAACGTGGACAGCGCTCAAGTGAACATCGACCAAGGTTCTACGCAGATTCAGCGGGCCATGGAATACCAGGTACGTTGCGATTGATGAACTCTCTCTGTTGTTTACCTCTCTTTTGCCTTCATTCATCGTCTTTAGTCGAAAACCCGAAGGAAGCGATTTTACTGTACCATTCTTTTGGCATTGGTGATCCTCATAATCATTCTCATAATATATCTTTCCGTTCCACGTAAGTGTTTTCATGGCCTGACGCCGTATGTCACATGTATAGTCTATCCTGTTTTAGATCAATAGCCCATATTATCACACGTGGACAAGACGCACCGGATGCGCGCCGTGATAAACTGTGATTGTTCGATGACGCCATTTCTGATCACGGAGCAGATTTTAAACCGTTCTCTTTTCGTTATTTATTTATTTTAAGTTTTTAAGCGTTTTTACTTCGATTAAAACGCTACTTATGTATAATTTGGGTCTTTTATGTTCCGTGCTTGTCCTATTAAGTATATTGGAAAAAAATTTTTGTTTCGAACAATTACATTTATTTTTTTCCTGTTGTAAATTTTGAGCCTTGAGCGTTTCAAAGATAAATCAAGCTCGTTTCAGCTGCTAAATCACTAATTGCACAGATTTGCACTCGAATTTTCTCTAACATTTAAAATTGGTTTTACATTTGAACCGTTGCACTTTGCAACTTACTCGGGCGTTTTGCTTCGTGCCACATGAATAATCGACTGAATAAAGTTTATAACCGATAACAGGGTAAAAACGTTTTTTCTTTCATTCGTTTGTAGTGCGTATAGAACTTAGTAGTGTAATTCTTTATTCAGTTGGTAGGTACCGGCAACAATACGTGATCGCGAAACAGCGTAATAGCTGTGAAGATTTGCTCAAAAAATTAACGGTGGGTGTAAAATCCTGTTTTACGAGGTTGAATCCCTGAGTCGAAATGGCACTTTATGCCTTAAGGCAGATCTCTATGAAGAAATGATCACTTGCACTCTAATTGGAAAGATTTTGGACCATCGTCCACATTCACTGTGGATAGCGCATGAATTTTTTCCGTTCTGCCCTTTGCCATTTGAGTAGCGAATTACAAGTAGAAGATTTGATCGTGCCATACTTAATGTGCGTTTTTGAAAATTAGATAAATATCGTTCTGGAGTTGATGATCTTAATCCGGCGTATCTGATCATGTATATGTAATTATCTCTGAATCAGGTGCTAGTTTCAATATTAAATATGGGTAGCGGAAGTCAAAGAATCCGGTTACCAAAATGTTTTCCACCGAAGTCTGTTTGTCCAGCGATCATGGCAAGAAATTTTAAATTCGGTACGCCATTTATTCAAGCAAGAAAATGCATAAACGCCGTAATATAGTTGTACATGGTTAAGAGATAATATGTGATAAGATGCACTGAAATGACTGGATTTTTATACTACTCAACAGTTCGCCAGCGTACCCATCCGTAAAATGTTATCGTCCTCTGATCTATCCTTTCTGTGAAATGTGTTTCTAAGTTAACACGTCAGAATAACCATAACGGAATTGCACAATAATAGATGATTAACCACTTGATTATCACAATGAATCCGCTATTAAACAGTTTAAAGCTAACCGTCGTCCTGTGGCACTCTTGCCGTACCTCTCCATTATTCTATCACTACGCCATAATTCCATGACACCTTGTGGTTCGCAAGTCAACAACAGTAATTTCAGTCCAATAATTTCTCGGCTGGCAGTACTAGATCAAATCTGGGGTCAATAAGAATGAGGAGATTCGTTCCTGGTTTTAAGTATTCATTATGAGACGAGTTATGCAGAAACAGATTTAATAAATAGCTGCTCTTTAAGATGAAATTCTTGCAACTACTTTTGAAGCTGCCCCTCACTATGCAAACCTTTTCTGAAGAGATTAAAAAGTTTAATCGGAGCGTTTATAGCAGTATTTTATTTTAGAGCAAGGCTCGAATGATTTCTGGAAAGTATCACTACACAGAACAACCGCTAGAAAAGTTTAATGCCGTGGAAGGACTACATAAATGGCTCTGTCATAAGTGTGGAGTTAGACAGACAGTATTCCTTTCACTGTTAAACATTGTTCTCGACTTTCTTTTACGAAAAAAAAAGATTTTTACCCTAAAGGGAAAGCGCCAGCTGAATTATACGGCGTATACCTTACTGCAGGAAAATGCACGTAATATAATACAGATGAAGGGTACAGTGGAACGGTTTTGTTACGTGGCGATCTCCGTAAGACAGTTAAAAGCGTAGCCTCCTTAATGCCCAAAAGTCAGAAATTATGAAGAATCCAGATAAAACAGACAATTTGTATAAACAGACTGATGTAACGGTGGAGATGATTGACTATTTTATGTATCGTAGCACAATCCAATCAAAATTACATGAAAGGATGGCTTCTGTCTCTAGGGTATTTCATTATATGTGCAATATTTCGTCTGCAAACTTCCACGGCGCCTGATCTCGGCAGCGATAGTGTTGCATTCAGTGGAATCAGTCATTCTAATGAAGGACAGAGAACAAAAGTGTCGGATTTAGAAAAATGTTAGTTGGCGAAACCGTGTAGGAAGTTACCTCATGCCTCTCATTCGAATCAGGTAACTTCTGAAGACATAGAGATTAAGATGTTGATAATAGATTTAAGAGTTAGTGAATTGGCAGGCTGGTGACGTTGGAGAAATCAATGGAACATAAACAGTTAACTCCAGCGAGTGATCTTCTCGTGTTACAGCTATAACCAGAAAAGTGTTAACCTTACGGATAACATTGAACAAGGATTATCACGATTGAGGTAGATTTTTGCCATATTGGAATCGTTCCTTACAAAGTAGATAAAGTATTTTGCTCATGCGGTGGTTGTCCTACTGAAAACAACTTAAAAATTGTTTTTTGATACTTTCACTATACAAAAAAGTTTACCAATCCGAAATTATCCGAAACATGGGCACTGATGTTTCACCTGAATGATCAAATTATTTGCACTGTTTATAAATAAACCTTGTTTTATGCTGCTTTCTTTTAGCAAAACTGCTTAAAGCTATCAATTCAATAAATTCCATAAATCGAAGTCATTCTGCAAATAAAAAATTATGAAGATGATTATCCTAATATTAGAAATTATCGCATATTTTGACAAGTGCCACGTGCATTAGTAAGAAAGAACTTATTTGTACAACGGAATCTTCCATATTTTGAGATTCATGGGTCAGTTTAAACTTACAACTGAAGAAAATCAGAGATTAAAGTTTTCTGTTATGTTCCTTAGATAAAGCCGATGTTCTGCAAAGTAACGACAATTAGTCATCTTGACAATGCCCCGATATTCTGAAATGAAACAAGACTGATGTGTAGTTCCATCATTAAAATATTCGTTGCACAAATCCTAACATATCATCCTGAAAGTCGAACGTCACTTTATTCTGTAGTTATGCTGGAATGTCGAGTCGGTGATAGCTGACTAAAATTTATTTGCTGAATAACTGCAGACGTGTCTTTGTCTTAGCAAAAATTTATTACTTAATATTTTTTGTTTTTTAGGTTTATAACATCGATGGGTTTGCTGTCTAAGGTAAATCTTATTCGGAAATTTATTTTCGCCATTTTATGTAGCATTTTATCTTTTTCGCCTGTATAATTTTTGTGATGATTGTGGTGATAGAGAGTACAGCGGGTTTTGAACAGTGTATATGAGTTCCGACTTTGCATTATGATCTTTATATTGCTGAGTATGTCATCGACGAGAGAATTTTCATCGAAATGTCGTCAGTGCAGTTACCTCGTGTACTTTCTGAAATCAGGTGAACTAATTCTTCTCATAGCAAAATTGTGCGTTTGATGACTAGAAGCGAATTCATCTTCAGGTTCAGGTGTCAGCAACATGAACAACAAGGCAAAAAAATGTCATTATTTATTTTATGTGTTCAAGCGATTTCACTGAATGAACATCGGTCATCATCTGGAAATATGTTTCCTGATGCCCGTTCGATCAAAACACGAGCATGTTTAAATGAAACAGTTTCCGCCTGTAGTGCTTGCTGCAACCACGAATTAAAAAGTATATCTCTCAGTCAGTGAATTTCATTGAATTATCGATCGCGGAGGCTTCCTTCTGATCGCGGAAACAAACGCGTGAGGGTATCTCCAGCGTTCCTGATCGTGTAATGTATAATGATATATTTGTTTCCATTAAATGAATTCGATATAATAAATTCAGTGTGTTTTGGAGTGTCAGAAGCAAGTAAACAGGCCGTAAAAATTTTGCCAGAGAGATTTGTGACGGAAATTTTGATCAAATGACTCTATTTGTCATAATAAGACGAAATACGAAATTGCATTTCTTCTACACCGATTTTTTAAGTTACTGTGATGTTTTGGACTCAGTATAACCAGTCCCTCGGGTTGAACAGGAATGGTCCGTCCATATCGTTACTTAAGGATAAAGTTGAACAGATATGTTGCTAACAATTGTAAAGCACCTGTCTTACCACAGAACTTTTCATCGTGGCCTTAGCTACCCTGATGTGCCCCTCTGCCACAGTGTAGACGAAGAGCACAGTCAGCCGTATCTTCTCATGTTAAGTACCATATGTAATAGATAGATAATTTCGATCGTGCATTCGTGTGATGCTGAAAAACAACATAGTGCACGCTTTATTAATACACAACGGAAAAAACATGATCATTCAGATGAATGATCAATACCGACGTTTTGGCTCGTGTTCTCGAGTGTTTTACTCAGAGA